AGGCACAGGCTGGACTCAGTGGTCCTGAAGGGCTTTTCCAGCCTCAGGGATTCTGGGATTCTGTGTTTGTTCAGAGCCCAGCCCATTATTGAATTCAGTCTCTTAGTGCTTCCTTTGATAGCTTGGACACCATTTTGGAAAAGCAGGATGCAGTTTGCTTTTCCTTCTGAATTCCATTTAGGTTTTAATCTGGAGTTCCTCCTCATGTTTCTCACTGGCACAGCTGATGTTCCCAGCTCAGACTCCCCAAGCTGAAGTTTTTACTCCACTTTCTCCTGTGTATAAAGAGCACAGGGATGAGCCCTGGCTTGGTTTTTTCGTGGTGACATCAGTAAATAATCCTCTCATTTTGTGCAGATCAGCAAAATGGAATCCCAGCTGCAGAGGGATTCCAAATGACCACGCACAGGCTGGACTCAGTGGTCCTGAAGGGCTTTTCCAGCCTCAGGGATTCTGGGATTCTGTGTTTGTTCAGAGCCCAGCCCATTATTGAATTCAGTCTCTTAGTGCTTCCTTTGATAGCTTGGACACCATTTTGGAAAAGCAGGATGCAGTTTGCTTTTCCTTCTGAATTCCATTTAGGTTTTAATCTGGAGTTCCTCCTCATGTTTCTCACTGGCACAGCTGATGTTCCCAGCTCAGACTCCCCAAGCTGAAGTTTTTACTCCACTTTCTCCTGTGTATAAAGAGCACAGGGATGAGCCCTGGCTTGGTTTTTTCGTGGTGACATCAGTAAATAATCCTCTCATTTTGTGCAGATCAGCAAAATGGAATCCCAGCTGCAGAGGGATTCCAAAAGAGCCGTGCAGTGTGAGGAGGAGAAATCCCAGCTTGAGGAAGCCATAAGGAAACTGGAGCAGGAGATCCGGGAGATGAGGAACACCTCGGAGAAATACACAGCCAGTATCCGGGTGAGAATCCCTGAGCACTTCCAGCCTCAGCCCCACACAGGCCTGGCTGCTCTCAAGGAGTTTTCAAGGACAAGATTCCAGCCCAGTTTTGTGTTCTCTGCAGGGATTTTCTGAGCAAGAAACTGATCTCAAAAATCAAATCAAGGAACTCGAAGCCAAAGTCGCTGCTGCTGCTCCAGACAAAACCAAACAGAAGGAATTGGAAAAAGTCCTTGATGGTTATAAAAAAGGTACATTTTTGGAGAGGGGATTTGAGATAAAAGTTGTAGTAATCTCTTTCAGCAATAGAGGAAGGAGTGGGTTTGGGTTTGTGCTTCAGTTCCCTGTCTTGGTTTGGGACCTCGTTTTTCTAAGGTGTTTCTAGAGATCAGAAAGTAAAACCCCTTTTCTTTGTAATTGCTCAAGTTCATGTTTTAGTCAAGCTAAAGTAAACATGAATTTCAGTATTTTGTTTCTTTCTTAGATTTTTGTGGCTGTATCACACATTCATAGGGAAACGTAGTTTAATTAGGGGTAAGAATTGTTAATGAGGAGGCAATGATACAAAAGTCAAGTGAAGGTTTTTGCCAGGCTCTAACCAGGCTCTGCCATGGGGCTATAAAATAAATCCCTGCATTGTTTGTGGGAACACATCCCTTCTGTGCTGTGATGCTGTCCAGCAGGGGCAGGATTACACATTGACACCAGCTCCTGGGAAATGCTGGTGGCCAGTTCTTAAAAATTTACCTTTTGAGCATCTTCCCATTAATTAAATGCAAAGAATGAGTTTGGAGTAACTTCTAATGCACCTCCTGTATTTCAGTACTCTGTACATCAAGTAATCCATGCTGGGTGGGTTTTGTGGCAGGAGAGCTTTGCTAGAGCAGCAGCAGAAAGAAGTGAGCGGATTTTGATGTTTGTCACAGTTAAACTGATCATTTATCACAGAATATGTACACTCCTCAATCGAGGAGCAGAGCAGAGCTCCCACCTGGAGTCCCTTCCATCCCTTTGTCCCTCCAGTGCTGGTGCCCACGAGCAGGGCCAGGCTGGCACAGGGCCCTCAGTCCCCTTCTGCTCACACAGATTACGAGCGCGTGGCGGAGAAGGCCGGGAAGATGGAGGAGGAGGTGAAACGGCTGCACCAGCTCATCATGGACACCAACAACCAGAAACTGAAGGCTCAGCAGGACAAAATTGATAAGATTGACAAGGAGATGGATGAATGTTCCTCAGCCATCACCAAGGCCCAGGTGGCAGCCAAGACTGCAGACAGGTACAGCACGGGGAGCCTCAGGCTGGAGCTGCACTCGCTCAGTGTCTGCGCTGCGTGGGGCTCAGCGAGGGAAAGGGAAGTCAAATTTTGTAGTTTCTAATAGTTTAAAAGTCACATTTAATCAGCATTTCTCTAGTATTTGCCCGAATTATTTCTTTAATATTGCCTAAACTGCAATATTCAGGAGAAAGTCCAAAATAGCACTTGATTGGATGTGCTGGAGCAGTTCAAATCTGAAGGGACTGATTTTATTAGGAGCTCTGTCAGGAAATAAAAAGGGATCTATTTTTTATGGGAGCTCACCACTCCATAGAGATTCCAAACTCTGAAAGAAGAAATGAAGTCGTTTAGTGAGGTCTGGCTGCTGAGGAAGACAACTTTATTTTCCTTGGATCCCTCTGGAGTGTGGGAGTTGGTGCCTAAACCAGCACCTCCTCCTTGTTGCCAGTGAGACTGTGCTCCTGGATTATTTTCTGTGAGGTGCACAAAGCTCCCTGTCCCTGGGCAGGAACCTGAAGAAATCCGAGGAGGCTCTGCAGCGCACGGAGAAGGAGATGGAAGAAAATGAGAAGGAAATGAAGAAACTGACAGAAGAGCTGACAACGCTGGAGGACAAAGCCACCGAGGTGATGAACGAGTGCAAGCAGGCTGAGGTGAGTCCTGGGACCACTCTGGGCTCCAGGGAATCAGGGAGAGGAGTTAAATCCTCCCTGTGTCCCACTGATATCCCACTCTCTCTGCACAGCAGCCAGGCCGTGGCAATGGTGTATTTTCATTTTTTACACTCACCTGGGAGTTTATCCTGGCCCAGTTTAGGAAAAAAACTTAACACCAGGTCTCCCCAAACAAATTGCTGGGTTTCTTAAGTATAAAATTTTTCTTGCACATAAAAACTTTCTTAAACTTAAAATTTTTCCAGTTATGTGGGATTTTAGTTTCCCATCTAGATTTCTGTGAGAGAGGGAAAAACCAGGATGGCTGAGATACTTTCAAATAAAGCTAAGAGTTGATGTCTTTCTCTAATTAGCTAAAAATGAGTGCAGGACACGTTTGATGCAGATCTGGAATGAAAATACAAACTGGAGCATTTTCTCAGTCATTCCAGAATTCAAGGATCAGTTATAAATCTAAGAATATTTGTTTCCATCCATAGCTAGGACTAAATTAAATGAAAACAGACTTTTCACCCAAAAAAGGGGCAGCATTTTGTAGGTGATTGATTAATGTTCTTTTTGGGGGCATTTGCCATTTTTCTACTCAGGAAGCTTTGCCAGCAGTGCAGGAGGAGCTGAAGAATTTACACCAGGAGATGAAAACTATTCGAGATGCTGAACATACCCTTCAAAGTGAAGCTCTGAGCATCAAGCTGAAAATTGAACAAATTGACAGCCACATTTCCACCCACCAGGGGAAGATCAAATACTGGCAGAAAGAGGTAGGAAATGGTTTAGTTCCTAAAACTTAAATCAGGCAATTGTGGAATGGTTTGGGTTGGGAGGGACCTTAAAGCTCAGCCAGATCCACCCTCAGGGACACCTTCCACAATCCCAGGTTGCTCCAAGCCCTGTCCTGGCCTTGGGCACTGCCAGGGATCCTGGGGCAGCCCCAGCTGCTCTGTGGATCTCACAGGATGAACCATCAACATCCCCTTAGGAAACAGAGGACTTGGGAGAAAACTTATTGCTGTATATGCAGGAGCAGGATGATAGGATAAAGGGAATTTATTCTCTTTTTCACTTCCTATTTTAAAGACCTGTGGGAAGAATCTCGGAGCACTTGGAGATTAGAAGCTTCCCTGTACTAACCCAGAAAAAAACTCCTTTTAGAACCAGCCCCACGTGTGTGTTACACTCCCCACCCCTGTTTGCAGATGTCCAAGCTGTCCCTGCACGCCATCGAGGGCGAGGCCCGCGAGGAGCTGCGGCTGCTGAGCGAGGAGGAGCTGCAGGCGCTGCAGGAGCCCGACGTGCTCAGCAAGAGAATCGCGCTGCTGGAGGCACAGCGCCACCAGCTCCGCCCCAACCTGGGAGCCATCGCCGAGTACAGGAGCAAGGTACAGCCCCGGGGGATAGCCCAGCCCCGGGCATTCCAGGAGAACCTGATCCCCCTCCTTCCTTCTGGAAGCCTGGAATTTGCCTGTTCCTGTTGTTAGCAGCTGGTCCTTAGCCAAAGAAGCTCCTTTCTAGGAGCTTCTGTCTGCCTTTTGTTTCCCACACCGTCAGTGTCAGGTGACAACAACTTCCTGGGTGATCTTGAAGTCTTTTCCAACCTAAATAATGCCGTGATTCTCCTGGGAATGTTTATTTAACAGAGTCAAGTCTTCACAGCCAAGACAGACACACGACACCCAGATTTTCCCCTCCTCACATCAGTAATAGTAAACCATTCAAGAGATGAAGTATTTTTTATTTTGACACAGGTTTGGTTTTTTGTTTTCCCTCAGCAGCAGAGATGGGAAAAGAGAGACAATTTGGGGGGTTTTGTTTCAGGGCTGTTAGCCAAGCTGGGGAAAAGGAATGTTCACATGGTAGGAAAAGTGATTTAAACATTAAACTGAGGAGGCAGCTCCAAGTGCCCTTGGGGTTGGTTGTTTTCCCCTGCAGGAAGAGCTGTACCTGAAGCACGTGGAAGAACTGGACAACATCACCAGCGAGAGGGACAAATTCAGAGAGGCCTTTGAAGAGCTGAGGAAACAGAGGCTGAATGAATTCATGGCAGGATTTAATGTCATCACCAACAAGCTGAAGGAGAACTACCAGATGCTCACGCTGGGAGGGGATGCTGAGCTGGAGCTTGTGGACAGTCTGGATCCCTTCTCAGAGGGAATCATGTTCAGGTTTTCAAAATACTTTATATTCTATTAATTTTTAATCATTATAGTCTTTTTTTCAACCTGTTTTTAAAGTAAATGCTCATTGATCTTCAGTGAACCAAGACAGGCTCAATGTGGTCAAATAGTGACAGAAACCACAAGCTTTTAGCTCTCAGATTCATTTCTTTCTCTGGGAAAAATCAGGAGCTAAAGCAGTTGGAAAGCTCTGAACTCATTTCTCAGCACTTCTTAATTCTCAGGTCACTTCATTCTGCATGAGGAACGATGGCAGGAATGCTCCCAGGATGAATCCACGAGCTGGGAGTTCAGCTGGGAAAGGCAGTGAGGCACAGCCCCCTGTTACCCAGCTGAGCTCAGGCAGAGATCAGAATTCCTGACAGCTCCAACTCTTGCTCTGTTCCAGTGTCCGGCCTCCCAAGAAAAGCTGGAAGAAAATCTTCAACCTGTCAGGAGGAGAGAAGACCCTGAGCTCGCTGGCTCTGGTGTTTGCCCTGCACCACTACAAACCCACCCCGCTGTATTTCATGGACGAGATCGACGCCGCCCTGGACTTCAAGAACGTCTCCATCGTGGCCTTTTACATCTATGTGAGTTCCTGGTGCCTCGAGGGGCCCTTCTCCTCCACAAGGGACAAAGTGGCCACACAGTTGCAGGCAGATTTCAGGTCTGGGCTGCTGCAGTTTGACTGCTCCCTCTGAACACACAGACTCCCCCAAAGCATCAGCTGCTGGCCGAGCACACAACTTTAGCTGTCACTGGTGTCTGCATGGATCCAAGCTCGTGATTTCCCAAGGTTCCTTGGATTTACACTCCCCTGTCATATTCCCATCAGTGTCTTTGATCTATATCTTAATTAGCAGTAATTGATTTTTGTTCATGCCTTCAAAACTTCTGCTCTCAGCATATTTAACCAAAGCAAACCCCTTACACGGCTCCAGTTCAGGTAATTAAACATTGAATACAGAGTTATTATTAACTGACAAAGATTAGAGGCAGCTACTTCAGATTAGGGAAGCACTTGGAAGTTCCCTGCCTGCAGCTGCAGTTTTAAACTTGGCTTTGTGTGCCTCACCAGGACGGGGTGGGGGGGATTTTGGGAATGCTAGGCACTAACACAAATCACTTCTGTTTCAGGAACAAACCAAAAACGCCCAGTTCATCATCATCAGCCTGAGGAACAACATGTTTGAGATTGCAGACAGATTAATTGGGATTTATAAAACCCAGAACACCACCAAAAGTGTGGCCACCAACCCCAAAGTCCTGGCTGTGAAAGGACTGGAGGAACTTGGTCTCCCTTCCTGCAGTGCATCCCAGAGTTAGGGAAGGAGCAACTTCCAGCCCCATGGCTGCTGTTTATTTTGTCTGATCTCATTTTGTATCATAGACTTTGTTTTGTTTTGTAAATTCTAAATAAATTTGTAAAAAATTGATCTTGTTCATATAAACCCAGCATTGATAAATTTGTTTTTGAATGTCATGTAAAAATTGAGGAAAGGGAGATGTAAATTGATGAAAAGAGAGACTGCATCAGGTTGGGCAGGGGCAGCACCAAAGAGACAGCAATTTAAGGAATCAGTGTCATTTCCTGTAATGCAAAACTGCCAAGAATTTTGGGATAAGCTCAGCAATGCACCTGATCTTTGGCAGAGAATTCCAGGAGGATGTTAAGGACCAAATTCCACAGTTGTGGATCAAGGCAAAGCTCACCTCTCTTCACCTGAAGTGGATCAGGACTGCAGTTCAGAGGAAATCCATGCAATACAGAAGAGGAAGGATACAGAAACAGAACAAGTGTAGAGCTTTAGCAATCCAGCTTTCAAGCAGAAATTGAAAATAATGCTGGATTGCTGCAAGAGCTTTTCAATCTAATGGAAGCAGTCAGGAAGGATTCTCCTGCACAGCTCCAGGAGCAGGCCAGAAGAGTGGCACAGCTCCTGCACTCTGGCCTGCAGGGAGGTGCAGGAATCCTGATAAATCCCCAGCAGGAATTCCCAGGGATGGTGCCAGAGGAGATCTCCTTGTGGTCCTGATGGAGAGTTTTTAATCCAGAGTTTTTATTCTGGGCTGCATGGCCTCTGAATCCTGCAACTCCAACAGCACCCCGACCGTGAGGTGTGCTTGCCCTTTTACCTGGGGAGGGAACACAGGGAGCACCAACCAGGAATGGGGGGAGGGGGTCTCAGGTGAGAGGGACACCTGGGTGGGCCAATGGCCCCAGGGGGTGGAGAGCATCCTTTGAACCTGCCGATCACTCAATTTCTGGGTTGAGAGAGTGCCCAGCAGGGTGGGGAAAGGAGAGGTGATTGACACCCCACCTGGGGAAGGAACCGGGGAAACTGAGGCACGCCACGACAACACACCGCAGCCATGGGCAGCGCCTGGCAGCGGGCACCGGCGGCTCCAGAGGCTGTCACAGCACCTGGCACAGGTGAGCTCCTCCAGCCACACAAAACACAGCAGAGGGCACTGAGCTCTCTCTGCTGCAGCCCCTGCAGCGACCCACGAGCCCCAGCAGCACATCTGGCTGGGAATGAGGCTGGGAATTTCCGGGGGGAAACCCATGGAACTGAGCAACAACTCCAGGAGCTCAGCGAGCCCCAGGCTGCACTCAGAGCATTCACCCAGCCGTATCCATACCATCCACAGCCAACCCTTAGAATCCCGGGAAAAGCAGCAGTCTGACACCAGATACTGGCTACACTGGGAAACAGCAGCAGCGTGCTGAAAGCCACAACTAGAATTTCTAAATAACCTCAGAGCTATGGAAATCTTCTCCCACCAGGAGTAACATTTTCAATGTGAACAGAAGCATAGAATTTTTTTCTCTCCATGCATTTCAAGGGTTACTTTTGTAACGTAAAATAGTCATAAGTGCATTAAACAGTCACACTGAGAAGCTCCCTCAAGGCTCTGAGGTCAGCAGCCCTCACAGGCAACACCACATCAGGAATTACTCCTGGGTTACTTTAAGCACCAAAATGAAAAATTAACTTTCACTTTCCACTCTCTGCAACGTTGCTTTGTTCTATTTCCCAGCCGAGTGAAATCACACTGCAAAGTCACAAGTCACACTAAAGTCTGTTTTCATAATAAATCATAATCCTGGTTTTCCTTCTGCTAAAAATTGGTACCAAATTTCCTTCTCTTTGTGCCACACTTTTCTTATCCTTCATCAGCTCTGTAGACTTTGCTACAATGCAGAAATTAATTGTCAGAGCATTTAGGATCAAATCCCATCAATTCAGGGTCTAAGCTGAGATCTGCAGACAATGATGTGGGCCCAGGCTGGGGGAAGGCAGGAGCTGAGCAGCCAGACCCTGTTTTTGGGAGCTAAATCAGCTCTGAGCACAGCAGCCTGTGCTGCTGGCACGGAAATAAGCCTGGCTTATCTCACCGGCTTAGCCAGGCTGGGGTTGGTCAGGGAGGGCAGCCTGGGCTGCTGACTCAGCCCTGGGCTGAAACTGAGGTGAAACGAGGCCAAAGGATCAACTGTGATGTTTTATTTATGGCAGCAGGAGTTCCAGCTTTGAAGGAGAGGAAAGAAAGAGAGGAAAAGCTCAGGATCAGCACCCAGGGCTCCCACACTGGCACAGGAGGGAAATTTCCTTCCTAAAGAACACAAATCCAACTTACCTGAGCTGTGGAAAGGGTGAGAGAAAACAAATCTGACTGCCAAGGAGTTGTTTGCTAGCAGAAAAGCAAAGGAAAACCTTTCCAAAATGTCTCTTGGCTGTGTCAGGAATGCTGTCAGAGCTGCAGGAGGAATGTTCCCCAGCACAGGAGCTGCCCTGCCCCAGGGGTTCAAAAGCCAGCCCGGGGAGATGACACTGCCATTCCATCCCCCAGAACATTCCCAGCAGCTCCCAGCCTGAATTTGGGAGTCAGCAGCGGGAGCAGAGGCTTGGCTCAGCTCAGGGCCAGGGCTGAGAGGGACACCCTGCTCCAGGGAACAGCACTGGGGCTCTTTGGTTGTTACTCCTTCGTGTCCAAACAACATTTGGAATGCTCAGGTTTGCTGTGGGCCCCCGCTGTTGTCTTACTTTGTTCCAGACAATATAAAAGGTGGAAATCCTGAAATTCTGTTTCAGCACGGAGGAAATGTTCATTTGCTGATCGATTTCCACCTGCAGGCTGGATTGAACAGACTCGAAACAAACTGGGAACACAACGGGAAGGACAGAGAAGACACCACAGAGTTCAGCAGAGAACAAAACAGTTTTCCAGGGGAAAAAAAAAAAGCAGCAGGAAGCCGGGAAATGCTGCCTTTACCTGCTACAGCTGTGCAGACAAAGCATACATGGCTGTGGAATACAGCAGCCATCAGTGTGGGTAGATAAATAACTGCTTTATAGCACAATCCCACCCTGTTCTACTGGGAGGGATTGAAAAGGTGAATTTGGCTTTGGGTAATGGCTGTGACAGCCCATTCCAAGGGCAAAGCCCCCCAGGAAGGATTGCTGCCAGGCTCCTGCTGCTCCTGGGCAGCACAGGAACATCCGCTCCCTCCTGCAGGGCCGTGCCACTGCTGAGCACAAACCGAGGCACAGCCAGGGGGTTCTCTGCTCTTTAATCAGAAAGATTTCAGCGCCAGCCTTGGTTTGTAAGGAATCCACAGCAATTTTCACTCAACTTCCACACTCTGCCTCCATCTCGGAGATGTTCCAAGACCAGTACAAGCATCACTTCGACCAAGACGTTTACAATAGGAACCTTTGCTGGGAATTTTAACACCAAACTTCAAGGCAGCAGCAGAAACCAGGGCCAGGAGTTCGGATCCTTGTGGGTCCCTCCCAATACCCGCAGGGTATTTTATGATTCTATATCCCCCTCTATCTTTCGATTCCAGCGCCAAGACCAACTCAAAGCTTCTGGCCGCGAGCAGTTACCTGTCCTTCACCGCACAGCCCCGGGCAGCGCAGCCAGAGCGGGGAGCACAGCTCGAGCTGTCCCGGCAGCTCCCGGACACGGGGATCGAGGGGCTGGGAAAGGGCTCCATCCACACCCGAAACCTGCGAGCCACAGCGACGGCAACGAGCTGAAACACGAGAAAAGCGGCCCCGACCCCCGCGCTGTGCCGGGAGGGCGGCGCTCCCCGGGCCGGGCCCCTCAGGCTGCGGGGCCCCTCAGCACCCGCCTGGGCCCTCCCGGGGAGCTCCGCCCGTGATGGAGCCGCTCCGGGCTCCTCTTGGGGAGCTCCGCTCTGCGATGGAGCCTCTCCCGGGGAGCTCCGCCGGCGATGGAGCCGCTCCGAGCTCCTCTGCTCGGTGATGAGCCACTCCCGGGGAGCTCCGCCGGCGATGGAGCCGCTCCCGGGGAGTTCCGCCGGCGATGGAGCCGCTCCGAGCTCCTCCGCTCGGCGATAGAGCCTCTCCCGAGGAACTCCGCCGGCGATGGAGCCGTTCCCGGGGAGCTCCGCCCGTGATGGAGCCGCTCCGGGCTCCTCCCGGGGAGCTCCGTTCTGCGATGGAGCCGCTCCGAGCTCCTCTGCTCGGCGATGGAGCCTCTCCTGAGGAGCTCCGCCGGCGATGGAGCCGTTCCCGGGGAGCTCCGCCGGCAATGGAGCCGCTCCGAGCTCCTTTGCTCGGCGACAGAGCCTCTCCCGAGGAGCTCCGCCGGCGATGGAGCCGCTCTCGCCGCCCCGCTCGGTAACGGCCGCGGCCCTCGAACGGCAATGGCGGGAGCGGGGGCGGAACGGGCGGAGCTGAGGAGGGGATGGAGCCGAGGGAGGGCGGGGAGGGAGAGCAGCCACGGAACCGAGGGAAGGGACGGGGAAGGGACGGACGGATTTCAAGTGCGGGGCCGAGCCGGGCCCGCGGCTCTCTCCCTCGGCCGGCAGGAGCGCGGTTTGTGGCGCTGCGATGGCGGAGCTCACCGGGATGGAGCCGGAGCTCACCGGGATGGAGCCGGAGCTCTCGGTGCCAGCGGCAGGAATCGCTGCGGGCTCAGGGGATGGAAGAGCGGAGGGGATCCCGCTCCACAACCCGCGGGAAAATTCACCCTGAAGGTGGAAAACGGGAGACACGGAATTTGTGCCAGCTGCTGGCCACCGAAATTTAAATTATTTCGTCTTTCCTTTGAAGCTCATTTACCGGCCTTGGCAGCCGAGAGGGTTTCAGGTCGTGCCAGGACACAGGGCAGGGCTGGGTGGGATTTTGGGGAAGGAATTCCGCCCTGGGAGGGTGGGCAGGCCCAGAGAAACACCCAGTGAAGGCTTTTCTCATATTCTGCGTTATTCTCTATTAATTTACAGGTCACTGAAGTCACTCTCAGTTGTTACCAAGTGCATTTGAAAGAGAAATGAAACTCATTTAATGTTGTGATGTAAATAATAATGCACCATCATTCCAAACTTACCTAAACGTGTCTCAAAGCTACTGTGGAGAGAACATGATACAAATATCGGAGAAACAGCTAGAATTAAGTTTCAAACCCTCAAGCTCTAATCACAAATTACCCAACACATCAGGAAAACCCTAAGGGGAAAACTACAGGAGCAGAAAATAAGGGAGCTTTTGACAGTAATTCACAATACTGAGAGTAAGAACAACTGTTGGTTTTCATCTATTTGATGTACTTAAATGGAGAGTTCAGAAGCAGCATTTCAAGTGCAAAGTGGCACTCCAGGAATTAAATCAGTGATTAAACCCACGGTCTGATAGGAGGTCTGACCTTCACCTGCCTTTCCATCAAATCACAAAACTCCTGGAACACATTTAACAACGACTGGCATTTAAAGTTTCCCAAAACTGGTCCTTTTCCAGTAAGAGCAGCTTTCAGTGCTTTATAGAAACTTAAAATTGAAAGTATTGACATTTTAATGACAACTTAAGAAAAGTCTTCCTCAACTTCGGGGCACAGCAGACCAGCAGGGTAAATACAGGATTTCTAATGGATCCACTGGCAAAAATGGGAATTATTTGCTGGAAATGAAGCTCCCAGGCACTTTCTGTGGATAGAGCAGCAATGTTAATTTGCCAAGGATTTCTGTGCCCCGAGTTTCACTGCAGCAGTAGCTACAACTTACCCCGAGCGAGTTTGTAAACTTGACACGTTTGCAGCTACTAAGTTTCCTCTCCCAATATTCGATCCAGATGCAGAATTCCTCTAATTGCTTCCAGCCTCAGGAGCCGCTCTCCTGCCGGGGTTTGGTGACACGCAGAGCTGAGGAAACATTTATAGTTAAAAGTGGCAAAAAGTCTCACTTTTAATCTGCAGACATCCTGAGGTTATGAGTGACTCTGCCAGGGATTCATTTGCCTCAAAATCCTTTTGGTTTGTTAATTATCTGACTGTTCTGTGCAGAAATTAGGATTTTTAGCAGCCTGTCCCACTCCCAAAGCAGAAATTCACAACTTACAGGGAAGGAAGATGGGATGAGCTGGGAATGCTGAAAAGAACCAGGGATAATTCCACTTCCAGCAGAGAAAGGATCAACTTCTCTCAAGAAATCCCTTTCCTCCCAGCTCATTCTTCTTCCCACATCCTAAAATTCCAGGGCAGCTAATTGGTTTTTTTTCATTAAAATAAATTTTTTTTCATTAAAATAAAAATTCCCACCCAGCACAGCTGATTTGTGGATTAATTTTTGTCCTTTTAATATTGTAAATATTTTTCTATTTGCTATCCTAAAATCGGGTTAAAAATTAATTTTCTACTCCGAAATACAGGATATCTTAAAATACATGTAACATATTAATATAGATACAACACCCAAACTCATTGATCAGTATTCCCAGAGGCAATTCCCAAAATTATTTGTTGTTGGTATCCCGAGATTCCCCTACAAATCCCCCACAATGGAATCAACGGCACCACCTCAAAATGCAAATTTTGGGAGAAAAGTCATGGCACACAGCGGCTCCGGGTCCGCTCCCCAGCTCGGCTGTGCCACCCTGTGGATATCCTGGAATATTCCACATTCCCGGATTTTGGGGAAGCTGACGGGAGCTGCTGTGAAGCAAGGGAAGAGAATTTCCCCGTTAAAAACTCACCCCAAAGCCCCAAATCCACCACAAAGGGAAAAGGCTGGAACAGCACCAGCTCAAGGGAATTTTCTGGAGTTGTGTTATACCCAGGAAGTGCCCAAAAAAAGCAATTTTTTGGGCATTAAATACAGAGCTTTGGGGGTATTTTGTTTTTAGGAAAGCAGAAGTTGCCAGGCAGCTAATTGTTTTTTTTTTCATTAAAATAAAATTTTTTTCATTAAAATAAAAATTCCCACCCAGCACAGCTGATTTGTGGATTAATTTTTGTCCTTTTAATATTGTAAATATTTTTCTATTTGCTATCCTAAAATCGGATTAAAAGGTAATTTTCTACTCCAAAGTACAGGATATCTTAAAATACATATATTAATATAGATACAACACCCAAACATTGATCAGTATTCCCAGAGGCAATTCCCAAAATTATTTGTTGGTATCCCGAGATTCCCGTACAAATCCCCCACAATGGAATCAACGGCACCACCTCAAAATGCAAATTTTGGGAGAAAAGTCATGGCACACAGCGGCTCCGGGTCCGCTCCCCAGCTCGGCTGTGCCACCCTGTGGATATCCTGGAATATTCCACATTCCCGGATTTTGGGGAAGCTGACGGGAGCTGCTGTGAAGCAAGGGAAGAGAATTTCCCCGTTAAAAACTCACCCCAAAGCCCCAAATCCACCACAAAGGGAAAAGGCTGGAACAGCACCAGCTCAAGGGAATTTTCTGGAGTTGTGTTATACCCAGGAAGTGCCCAAAAAAAGCAATTTTTTGGGCATTAAATACAGAGCTTTGGGGGTATTTTGTTTTTAGGAAAGCAGAAGTTGCCACAAGTACCTGTTCTCCTCTCACCCCAACAAGAAAGGTTTGTAAAATTGGTATCCCGAGATTCCCCTACAAATCCCCCACAATGGAATCAACGGCACCACCTCAAAATGCAAATTTTGGGAGAAAAGTCATGGCACACAGCGGCTCCGGGTCCGCTCCCCAGCTCGGCTGTGCCACCCTGTGGATATCCTGGAATATTCCACATTCCCGGATTTTGGGGAAGCTGACGGGAGCTGCTGTGAAGCAAGGGAAGAGAATTTCCCCGTTAAAAACTCACCCCAAAGCCCCAAATCCACCACAAAGGGAAAAGGCTGGAACAGCACCAGCTCAAGGGAATTTTCTGGAGTTGTGTTATACCCAGGAAGTGCCCAAAAAAAGCAATTTTTTGGGCATTAAATACAGAGCTTTGGGGGTATTTTGTTTTTAGGAAAGCAGAAGTTGCCACAAGTACCTGTTCTCCTCTCACCCCAACAAGAAAGGTTTGTAAAACAGCAATTTTCTACGGAGCATCCCCCACAAAGGTGTCTGAGGGTGAAAATGATGATTTACTGGTTAAATCTTCCTTAGAACATTGCAACTTCCATAACAAGGATTTCATTTCCCTGCATTTTCCATGAAAACAGCCCTGATCCATTCAGTGAATATACAGAGGTAATTAAGTAAAACTGAAATAAAATTGTTATTAACATTTACAGCAAAATAACTCCACGCTTCCAGCCTGCAACACACAACCATTTAACAGGTAAAAACCTCAACCCAGAGCCTTTAAAAGTCACTTTTTTCAAATAACCTCTGTGTTTCCTGCTGAAAAAAAAGGTGAATATTCTATAAAGAAACAGGCAGAGCAGCAGAGTTGCAAGTTTTAATGTTTATTTCCCCAAGACAGCCTAGCCTGCACTCTACTTGGATAAATTCACAAGCTAGTTTTCCGCTGCTTCTAGTTTTAAACTTTTAACCATGTTTCTGATGACAAGGAATGCTGCAAAAATACTCTAGTCCAACAAAGAGTTATGATCACAAAATAATCTTTATCCATTCTACAGTGTTTCAGAATTACCAGCTGATTTGAAAACACAAGGTAGATATAGATGCTAATGGTGGCTAACCTGGGATGTTTTATTATAGCAAACTGTTGTTCATGCAACACTTGTGCTCAAAGGGGAAGGCACAGCATTTCCTACAATGAGCCACCTTATCAAGAGTTCAGTTTGTACAAATTTGTAACATCACCTTGAATTTAGTGTGCACCACCTCAAAACTGAGGCATTCCTCCAATTATAAAAACACTTGCATCCTTTTTGTGCAAGTTTTAAAAATACAAAGGTTTTTTTTTTTTTTTTCTCTCTAAAGTGGCTCAAAATAGATTGTTCATGGCTGCCTACATCTAAGATAAAAAGAGTCTAAAACAATTGGATTAGGCATATTAAAGGTGTTCAAACCATGACTTGATTTGTACATCTATTCACACCTCTTTTTTTCGCTCTTTATTCAGCAGTACATATGCACCAAATTTCATTTTTAGACGTTTCCATATCATTTTCATAGAAAACAAAGTTTGAAAACAAGTAACATTGAAACACAGCACGGTATCCTACCACAACAGAAACATTTTGGTTACAGGACTCAACGAAATCTAAAAATGAACTATGCTGGAGATTACCACATGCAAGGGTCTTCATGTTATCTTTGAAAATGAAAAGGATGAGGTTTTATTACCACATTTTTACTGCTTTCTACTATTATGGCAACTTGTGTACTGCAACACAGTCTAGTCTGAAGGGAAATGGATGTTTGGTTTTTTTTTTTTTTTGTTTGCTTGTTTTTCCATGCAAAAATCTACAAATTAGTTTTGATGATATGGAAAAGCTTTTCATAACATCAAACATTCATCTGGTGCAAATGCACAGGGAAGCCTTCCTGAAATTCTGACTTTACAAACAACTAAGAAGCCGTAACAGGAAAAAGAAATTTAAAAGAACTGAAAGAAAAAAAGAAGAGGGGAAAAATTAAAATAAAATAAAACAAAAAAAGAGGAAAACACAGGCTGCAGGAGTAAACCAGAGTCTGCTGCTAAACCGGTCTGGGTGTGTCCAGTGTAAGTCAACACTTGTGAACTCATTGGATGATTTTCGGTTTCTCAGCCCCTGGAGGCGACTCAGGCTCGCACGCTCACAGACACATCACAGGCACTCTCCTCTCGCACGGCAGGGCCCGGGCCGGCGCGGGCTGGCCCGGGGCAGCGGCTGCAGACACTCACTCCACGCTGGCCATTCACACGGGGCTGCAGAGCAAGGCCTGGGCTCCTCTCCCTGCTGTGGGCGCCCTGTTCTCTGATGCTTACGAGGCTGATGATGAGAGTACTGCGTCCCCCCGCTGCTCCGGGAGCTCGGTGTTCCTTCTCAGGCACTGAAGATCTGTGACCTGTAGCCCTTTTTCTTTGAACAATCTAAAGAAGCATTCGGTGTGAAGTTTGTCATTACATTTTGCCACTCATTCTCACTCGCACCCACTCGCCATCTCGACTTCATTTGGGCTTTTCTGTGATTCCAAATGAAATCTTCACATTTACTTTCCCGATTTAATGCAGCAGCGGATCCCATGAGCCAAGATTGATGGATCAAACCTTTTTTTTTTTTTTATTCAGTGCTGCATTGTACCTAAACTTCCAAAATACCACTCTAAAACTGGAACCCTTCTGCTGGTACGTTGGCAGATGAATTGAAACCAAACGTTCCGCCTTGGATTGCTTCTGGAACAAGGCTTGGATCTTCATCAATCTGGAATGCAACGGGGACATCGTGAGCAGGGACACAACAAAACCTTCCTACACAGCAGCTGGACAATCCCAAAAGCAGCTCTCCCTTCACCTCCTCTCACCCAGTCCTGCCATCCCTCCCCCAGTTTAGTGAGAGCACTAAAATGAAGTGATTTAAACCCAAATGTTTTAGTTTGTATTTGTCAGGGAGGGCTACATGGCACCCCAAACCCTCTTGGTGACACAACCTTCTCTCCTGGAAATCCTTCTGGCAGTCTCAGAAACTGTCCCAGTTCCCAGGAGAGGACCAGCACCACTAAGCCAAGGAAGGACTAAGCCCAAACTGACACTGGATTCAATTCCAAGTCCGGCCGTAAATGCCAAAGTTGAGTTGCTAGACAAGACTTGGATGCTGCTGCTCACAGCAAAGTGAAATCCAGCACAAAATAAGCTTCCAAGTGAAAGCAGGCCCTGAATGCAGCTGAACCCGACCACTCCTGCAGTGCTCAAGGCAGCAGGAAGCCCTCCCTGCATGGCACAGGCTGCCCTTCCCCTCCAGCAGTGAGCTTCCTGACTGGAAGTGCACACACATCACCCTGCCTTTGGTTCCTGTTCCATGGCTGAAATGGGAGCAACGCTCCTGATCAGCACATTCCACCCCTGGAATTGTTCAGATATTCCAACTGCTTTGTTTCTTAAGCAGCAGCCTCAGCCCTGCAGTCAGCAGGGAGCTTATCAAATGGGAAATGCCAGCTGAGAGTTAAGGGAACTATTCACAGCCTGGGATTTTAATCCCTAGAGATGAGGCTTAAATTAGGCATCAGATCTTCTTTAGATGCTTCATCATAGCAAAGGCAGGAGGTGCAGGAGGTTCACACGAGGGCTCAAATTCCCCCCTGAGCCCAGCCCTGGTGCCCTTCTCCTGCAGCAGGTTTGCAAATGAAAACAGTGAGCCCACTGCAGGGAGCTGCACACTCACATCATCTGAGGAGAAGAACTGGTCAATGATCTCATAAGCCAGTTTGTAGATGTCTTCATTTTCATGGTTTTGTAGCTGTTCAATTTTCTCCAGGCCTGCAACCAACACACAAGAGATCTCAGAACACCAAAGTCAGGCCAAACCACTTCCAACAAAGAAATTAAAAAATACATTGGGAATAGAGTTATGAATAAAATGCTGTTAAACCCACCTGGCATATTTATATACATTTTATACACCTAAACACAGAAGTTCAGTGCATAGATTTGGTATTTTAAGGATTATTCTATTCCATGTTAACACATCCCAGTTTTTTACCTGTGCCCAAATTTACTATCACTGTTCTTTCATCCCTGAAAAGTTTCAGTCAACTTAAACCACAAAGAATGGAGAAAGTCTCAAAACCACGAGGAAATTAAAGTTATTACATGTGTACAACCACTGTATGTAGAATTATTTTTTCCAAGTTCACCTGGACGTGACTTGTGCATGATTAAGGTAAGCACATCACCCCCACACTGACTAATTTAGTTTCTGTTAATTAGACTGATTTGTCCAATATGGAGACTGTTACAAAATTAGCACCTAATGAACTTTACTGCCATTATCCTGCTCCTCCACATTTTATTTGATCATGAGCTTAGGAAAAGCTGTGGATATTCACCTGACAGGCATGAAAAGGGTGCTTTAAAACAGGTTTGCTTAAAATATCTGTGCCAACAATAAACCCAACACAAGCAGGATGCCAAAGCAGCAATCCCTGGAAAAGTTGTCAAAATCTTGCTCCTCCTACCTCCACACTCTTCTATAAGATTGGCTATGGTTTCTGCTTCCTCTTCAGCCATTTTTAATATATTACTTAGTCCATCCAGAACCACTTGCACAACTTGTGCATCTTTTACTGTCAGCAAATTGCAAAAGGGAGGAATTACATTTTGTTGAATTAAGTAAGCCACCTGAGGAGGGAAAAGCCAAGAGTCACAGCAGGAACGTGGCAGCAGCACAGGCAAACACATCCCAGCAAACCCAAAGAGTCACAGTCACCACCAGCCCAGAGCACTCTGCAGTGGCCACCTCAGGAACCCCTTTTTGGCACATTTTGGGTAGTAAATTACAAATAGATTTGAGGTTTACAACACCCAAGGAGCAAATACTGTGAATTTTTCAGCGTCAGATAAGGAGTTTTACCCTCACCTTTGAAGAGTGACAGCACCACCCCAACCCTGTCACAAATCTCTTACTCTGGCCTTACAAGGGACTTGTGTGTCCTACTCATTTGTCCTTTTAATGATCACATCCTCATGGTGTGGGAAAAAAGGTAAAAAGAAATGTGGAATGCTTGAGGATCCCATCAGAGCCTGACTGAAGTCACTCATCCCAACAGAGCTTCCAACAAACCCCAGGGATGCTCTGACCTCAGGGCACCCCAAAACAAGGGGAGGTCACTTAAATCCCACGAGGAGAAGGGCAAGTTACTGAACAGACACCCATAGCCCCAGCACCTCCCAAGGCAGGACATGGAAGTTTTCCCAAAGCTGGACTCACCTGGTCTTTTCTCCCACTGATTGTTAAGTTGCTTATTGCCCAAGCAGCTTCTTTCTGAGTCCCAAAATCCCCCTGGAAGCACAAGCAGAGACAGAAACACTCATTCCAGGCTTGGTGCCAGGCAGGATTCCCACAAAAGCTGCATTTGTTACAGTCCCCTCTGCAAGGTGCCACTGTAGCAGTTTAGAGTGAGGTAACAAATAAATCCTCTTTGATTCTCTCTGTGTTCATCCCTCCCTCCAACCAGCTCTGCAATTGATCTGCCAGGGAAGGGAACTTTGTTTACACCAAGGCAAAGAAGAGCTGCAGCCCTGCACTCTGCCAGCCCTTATCAGCAGCTGTCACATCCTGCAGGCCAGCTGAGCCCAGGCTGATAAAGCTGTGATAAAGCCCTGCACATGCTGCAGCTGGGGCTGCTGCAGCAGCTCAGGGCTGGGATTACATGGAAAAGTCTCCAATCTTTTCTCACAGATCAATTAACAGAGCAATTTGTGACCAGCTCTGGGTTATTTGTCTTTTCCCTTAAATAATTCCCACATGCTTTTAGCTGTTCCTTCCTTCTGCCACAGCAGATCCTTGGCAGCACAGAGTGGTTTGGGAAGTCACTTTTAAAAGGCACCCAAGAAAGGAATGCAGGATTTGAAGCCCACCACCAATCCTTGGGATCTGACCTTATCTAGAAGATGGATTATCATTGGAACAAGGTTTGCATCTATTACTGCCTGAACTTGCTGCTGGTTTCCTGCAGTGATGTTAGATAGGAACCACACTGCTTCCTGCAAAATAGAACATCAGGAATTAATTCACAGAAGGATTTTACATCATTTCTGTCCACTGCAACTGGGCAACCTCGAACACAACCAAGCATTCCATCAGCTGGATTGTGCAGAGCTGAATTCTTGCTGAGACAAACCAAAGGGACAATCTCACCTCAGGAGACTCCACAAGACTCCCCAGCCTTTCACCGTTATTACCAGCTTCAACCAAATACTTCAAATTAAAAGGAGAAATTATTTGGAGAGAGATAATGCCAAATGAGCACTTCTGATCACTTCCAGCACTGCCAATTAGCAGGTCTCAGCTGATTTCCTGGCAGAATCCTGTATTCCAGACATGACAGTTCTTTACCTCCTTCCTAAGGGCTCTTCTTAGCTTCAGGAAAACACAGCACTTTGAATTAAACACTTGACTTTTAACAATACTCTGAAGTTTGACTCTTTATGCTCGTTCTGTCCACAAGCCCAGGACTCTACTCCCAGGCAAGCAAGAGCAGATCTCTCCCTCAGCAGCCCCTCCCTGAGTTAAATTCAGGGCCCTCAGCTCCCTTTTAGAGTGGGAATCTAAACTTTAATCAAGAAGCAACAGTTTTCAATACAATTTTAGTACATTCAGAGTATCAGCCTGTTAAAGTCCTACAGCTGATAGATTTCTCCCTTCCTAGAAATCCTCCAGCATTCAGTTCCCTTCTCAGCCTCCCTGAATGAGAACTTTTTAGCTGAGAATTTCGAAAGAAGCTTCAGCAGCGTTCATCCCTGACTCTCTGAGATCAGATCACAGGATCACTGGTGACCCTGGAGACATTTGGGCTGCCTGGGGCTCTCCTGGTGGGCTTTTTTGGGGCTTTAATCACAGGCAGTGTTGCAGAGGGGCCCCGAGGTGCCCAACACGCCTCAGATGCACTCCTGGCTCAGCACTGCCATCAGTGCCCCCACGAGAGCCCCCCACACACCCTACACACACAACCCCCACCCAGGCTCTGCCTCAGTTCCCCTTCTCACACACACTCCACCCAAACACACCCAATTATCTCTGTGTCATCACTTCTGAGAGAGTCAGGTTAATTAATTAAGGTGACATTTCATGTATTGAGAATTGAGAACTCCTACACAAGTCAACAGCCAGATTTATAAGAGAAAGCTTTGATTTCCTACAAACATTGATATTCCTGTCAAGCACAAGTCTGCAGCTCCTGAGAGACTTCCCTATGGATATTAATTTCCAGAAAAAAACCATCAGTGTTTGCTGAAATTTGCCACAAACCGGTGGAAGGAGTCGATTACTCACATCTTTATGACACCACACAACGTGGAGCCCCAGCTCAAATAGAAAAGTTCTCCATCAGGTAAAATCCCTGGCGCTGCTCACCTTATTAATTTTTTCTTTGGGATGTGTCAGAAGTGCTGGGAAATGTGAGAGAGCTTCACAGTTGAGAACCACCTGTGTCTGCTCGTCGGTGCCAGTGACGATGTTGCCCACAGCTCTCAGCGCAGCCGTCTGAAAACAAAACATTTCCTTTCAAAACAGCTTCAGCAAACAAAAGGTTTCATGCAAATGCTGCAGCACACAGGAAAATAATATTTGTTACATTTCAGTGTGAGCTACAAGAAGGAAGCATTTTGTGCAATGGCACATTTTGGGGTCACTTCTCTGTGTGATCCAAACTCACCTGGACTTTGACTTCCTGGTGGCTGAGGAGAGGAACCAGGTGAGGGACAATTCCAGAGTCTATCACCATCTGGATCTGCTCGTTGCCAGCATCCGTGAGATAGGAGAGTGCCCAGACTGTATCTACCAATATCTGACAGGACAAAACAACGGCTCCAAAATCATGTACAATTACAGATACATTGACAATTAATTTCAATTAATGTGTGTGTGCATTCATGTGCAGAAAAGTCAGTTTAAGCAGCAGGAAATGTGAGCATTTCAACTGATAACTGGCAAAAATATTGAGTGAGTGTTGTTTCAGCTCACAGCTCTTGACTGGCTCACCAATACAGGAATTTCCAAAATTCAAATAAACTTAATTTCACCTCCTTAGAGACAAGAAATTAAATCACATAATTACCATAGGAATGGTAAAGTTAATACAGACATATTTTTTGCAGAGCAATGTTGCCATCAACCCAGCTACAACTTCTTTAGGAAGCAAGAATTAATCTTAAATTCTGATTTATGTTCAGACAAAAAGATGACTCATTCCATAATTTCAATGAAATTTTGCTCATTTACCTCACTTTTAAAAAACAATTTCATATTTAACACCTCAGAAGTTACATCTAACCCTGACATTTGACATGTGCAGCAGACACTGATTTTTCTTTCATTCACACTGATTTTCATTACAAATTAAAATGCTAGGCAAAAAAAATTCCTGTATTTCTCTGTGAATGAATGCTCACAGAAATAAAAATAGAAAGCAGTTTCAGTTGTAAGTGCAGGGAAAGTACATGCAAATAAACACTTGCAAAGACAGAAGTATCAGAGAAAAAACCATCACTATTTAAAAATAACATCATTTTAAAAGAAGCAGTTAATAGATCCCAAAGAATCTTGCCCTAACCAAAGGGAACATGACAGATTTTCATTTTATTTTATATTTCATCTGAAAAAGCACAAGCTGGAAGTGCCTTTAGGAGGGCTCACTCACATTTACATCCGTGTGGTGAATTAAAACGCAGAGCGCTGGCAGGATCTGAGGGGGGAAAGAAACACCTGAGGGTTATTTTGGCAGCAGGCAAACCCCAGCTGCAGCCCAGCCCCTGCAGAGCCAGCCCATCCATCACCTCCTGGATGGTCTCCATCGGTGGAGGGGGGTCTTTGTGGCGGCACAGGTTGACCATGACCCAGGTGACGTTCCTGAGGAAGGTGATGGGGATGGAGGGGCTGATGAAGGACAGCAGGGGCTTCACGACTCCAAGACTAATGACATAATCTCTACACTGGGGTCCATCACCTGTGGGACACAATCAGGGGGGTTTGAACAGAAAACAGCCCGTTGGTGACAGATTTTAACAGAAAACAGCCCAGCATTTACAGATTTTATCAGAAAACATCCATCCCATCATTTACAGATTTTACTAGAAAACAGCTCACCATTTACAGATTTTAATAGGAAACACCCAATCATTTAGAAATTTTAACAAAAACCATCCATCCCATCATTTACAGATTTTACCAGAAAACACCCATCCCATGATTTAGAGATTTCACCAGAAAACAGCCCATCATTTCCAGATTGATGGTGGTGGGTAAGGGAAAGGAGTGGCAGACAACACCAGCCCACCAAGAACAGTGAGAGCCCAACATATTCCTGAAGATTCCTTGACAAAATTTCCAAACAATAATAAAACATCCCCAGAGGGTGGTGGTGGTGGCAGGAGCAACAACAACAACAATAATAATAATAAATAATAACAACAATAATAAAACATCCCCAGAGGGTGGTGGTGGTAGGAGTAGTAACAAAACATCCCCAGGGGATGGTGGTGGCAGTAGTAATAATAATAATAATAATAATAATAATAATAATAATAATAATAATAATAATAATAATAATCAAACACCCCCAGAGGGTGGTGGTGGCAGGAGGAAGACCCACCTATGATATTTCCTAAAGCCCACACTGCTTGCTCACAAACATTTTGATGAGGTGAATGCAGCAGCCTCAGGAAAAGCGGCACAGCATCTGAAAGGTACAAAAAGAACCCAGGAGAGAAATGGTTAAAAATGCAAATAATGCACAGAATTCACTCTCACAGGAGACATTTTTCTCCTGATAAGAACTGGCCAAAGCTGCACTAATTTCCCAGGTGATACTAAAATAAAACACTGCAATGATTCTTCCTTTGCTGCATATTCTTACAGAGCCTGCACTTGAGAATATTAAACCCCTGACATTTAATTTGTTTGCGAGTCTCAAGTTTACTGAAGCTTGTCAGGATCCAAATTTAGTTCCATTTATTGAATTCAGAAATTCTCTGCTAAGTTATGCACCAGCCCCAAGTGCAAAGGAAGAGCAGAGACCAAACTCAGGCACTCCAAGAAGCAACTGGAGAATAATCAGGAATGGAGTGGGAATTAAGGAGTGGGAATGGAGGCAGAGGGCAGGAAAGAAATCCACATTTACATGATTGATCCTGTTTTATTCTCCCCCAGCACCGAGGTGCTTGCTTACATAATAGCCCAGTCTGTAAGGAACCCATTTATTTCATAAACTTCAAGAGAAATTTGGAATTTTTAGTTTTTTTTTTTTTAATGTAAACCATGTGTTTACTAGAGAAACAACTAATCAGCAGGATTCTTATTTCCTGCTAATTTGAGGTATTTACAGTGTCTGTATGCAAGGAGAAAAAACATCTGCAGCAAGCAGATTAACAATTTCTCCTGGAAAAATTACAAAAAAGCATCATTTAAATTGAAATAAATCATAATTTTGTATGTCACAGCTATTAAACTGACTAACAGAGTGCAATACAGACCTACAGAAATCACTGAAAATGTACTTAATCCACTGATAAATTAGATTTAAAGTGTTCTAGATCAGGGGTGGGATAGATTATCTATTAATTAGATTTCCCAAAGAAAACTCAGGTTGCAACTAGGAAAGGAAGAGGATGAAGAAAAAGATAAAAGTATTACCAAAGGCACATCCTGTAAGAGTGAAAATCAAATTATATCAAAGTTCACAGGCTCTTAACACCAAGTTTGCAAAAATAGAAGCAACTGATCTCGCAGCCAACATAATTTTTGTGTATTTTTTCCTTAAATTTTAGGAAAAACTCATTTCACTGTATGTTTGATTCTTCAGGAAGCTCTGGTTTGTTCACTCAGTTAAAAACCCTGCCCACTTAGTTCTGATTTAGCAACAGAAGCTCTGCTTCAGGACATGCCTGGAGCCCAGAACAAAGTTTGCTTTGCCTGGTAGCTCGGATTCCAACAACAATTCCTTCCCACGTTTCAGATGCCCCAAAATAGAAAGGACAGGTTTTGTAATTCAACTTAATTTTGGAAGAGTTCAGTGTCAGGCACCCTCTGGTCTATGAATATTCTCCCCTCTGCACAACAGGAAGCTTTTCAAAGGGGTTGTTTGGTTTTTTCCCCAAGTTTTTTGGTGATTTTTTTCAGGTTTGAAAACTGGAAGCCAGCAGGTATCAACCCTGCAAAGATATTTTGAGTTTCCAGCTCACCATTAGGAAACCCAAGTGGGTTTAAACCCTGAGGAAATGAAGCCAAAACCAGGTGTGTGAGGTAAACCTGGCAGCAGCTCCTTCAGGGCCTTGATGGCCAACCTGATCCCAAGCAAATCCCAGGTGTGGATGGAGCAGATCCCCCCTGCAGGACTCACTGGATTGAACTACAGCCTGGGTTTGCTCCGAGGTTCCAGAGGCAATGTTTGTCAGAGCCCACGCAGCCTCAAACTGTAAGGAAGGACTGCAGACAAAGATAAAGCACAGTTGTCAGCACTCAGATCAGAGGCACACCAGCTGAACAGCAAGAACTGCTGCAATATTTGGAGTTTTGGCAGTACTCACTTGTCATCTCTTTCAAGACAGTGCACTAAGATAGGTAATATTCCTGATTTTATTAGGTCGTCAATGGGTGGATTGCGGTCACTGGACAGCAGCTTCCTGCAGGAAAATGGACAAAAAACCCAAATTACAGACAAATCCTGCCTGCAAAGGAGCAGGGAGATGTTTAATCCAACTATCCCCTCAAAAAGGGATCAGTGCTGCCACTGGACAGGTCAGTAAAGGCTTCCTCTGAGTTTGGGAATCTCCAATGGAGCCCCAATGACCAAACTGCTCCTGCTGGGCTGGCAATTCCTTCCCAAGGGTTTCTCTCCTCCTCCCACAGGATTTGCTCCTCCTCTTTAAGTGAAAATAATCCCCCAAAGTGAAATTACTGAGCCACTGGAAAAACAAAGCCATTATATCCATTGGCCATTTCATTCCATGCTCTCTCCCCTCTGGAAGTTTATCACCAGCCAGAAAAATAAAAGATGAATTATTCAGCTCCAACTCCTCCAAAGGGAGACACTCAGCTC